CCCCCCACCCTTAATGTGCTAAAATGGGTGATACATTCTCGCACTCGCATGGCTGTGCTCATTGCAATAGGCTAGCCAAGAATGAGCCTTCTGCGGCACTGACAGGCTGTGGCCAGTCATCATCATCCAGTGCCAGATCTGCGACATACATTCCTTTGCTCGGATGCTCTAAAAAAAGCTACGTTTCCCTGATCTTTCCCTGTTACCCATTTAATTTTGTTTAGGTTACCCAAGTAGGCCTACTGTATGTTGTTCTGGGCCTTCCCCTGCCTCGCTTGCCCTCAATTTTGCCAGTGAGAGCTATAGGCGTTCAAGACCTTTATGTATATTTCTGTGTCCCAAAAACTGCATTTGTCGTTTCCTGATTGTTTTTAACATTGAGCGTCCCACGTGGCACGTGGGCTTCATCAAGCACTGCCTCATTTGATTTCTTTTCTTTCAGTGGGCAGTAGTTCCAGTAAATGGCGCCACACCTCACACGGTGCGGTGGAAAATTGGGGGGGGGGGTGTTTTACGGCGCTCACGACTGCGTAAAGTCAAATTATGAGCGCGCGGGACACATCAAACATTTTCAGTTGGTAGGAAATTTTGAAGTTTGCCCAGGTGGCGACTGATTTTGGATCACCATGGGATCTTTAACGTGTGCAACTTGCACACGGGACCTCCTACATTTTTCACCCTTGTCCGAGAAGATGGTGTAGATCTTTCCGACCATAAGATCAGGGGTGTGGCTGAAAGACAGCAGTAAGAAGGAGCTGAGGAGTAGCGCAGAAAAAAAGGCTGCATAAAGAGTCAGGAACCTAGAGGAGGGGGCTACTGAGGTGAGGGGGTGGGGGCAGAAAGTGGAGACGAAACATTGCTAGATAGCAGGGAAGAAAGTGAAAGGAGACAATTTTTAGAGAAGAAAAATTGCGGTCGCTATCCGGATTCAAACCCGTGACCTATTGAATGAGAGGCGAACAACTTAGTAACTCAAAATGGGACAAAAATGTCCGATAAAACTCTGTAATTCTAAGGTAGCAAAGTGCCATTGAGGTGTAATAGAAAATTGTGTCGTTTATTTCGCTCGAAATTTCGAAAGAATACTATTACTTTTCACGTAACAGATGAACTGAGGAGCACATGATTGAAGAGGTACTGTTATACGTGTATTTTTATTCAGTGCTCATAAACTTTCTATAAGTGCATACATTTTAGTGACAGCGTTCCAGTTGGTTTGTTGTTTATGTGTTTCAGCAAGAGTTTTACGGCACTTTCGCAATATAATGTCATATAAGTGCTGAAGATTAGAAGGGTTACAAGAGAAATGATAAAGCACAAAAAGAGGAGAGATAAGGGCGATAGATGCACCAGTTTGTTTTATTGTTGATTGCTTGGTAGATATTTTGTGTGTGTTGGGGGGGGGGGGGGGGGGGGTTAGCACTTGCGATATCTTGTAAACCTGAGACAATTTTGGTTGCATTAAATTTTATCTGCAAGAAGATATCACTAAAATGAACTTTAAAAAACACTGTTCTGAAAGCAACAGTGTTTCTTTCTTTTAATTCAACCCCCTTTTTAAGGATCTTCTACATCTAATCAAAAATTATATTCTTTATTCACATCTGTGCCTTAACATTATCAACCTCATCGACATCTTCAACTACATCATCAGCATCCCAACATCATAATAGTCTACCAAACACAAAACTAACTTTATCAAAACTATGTTTTGACTAAGCTAAGATATCACCTGCACAACATTATACACATCTGATGGCGTCAGTCGGTTAGGATTGGGCAAAGGAAAAGAAAGGGGGAGAGAGAGAGAGAGAGAGAGAAAGAGAGGGGGGGGGGGGGGGGGGAACTTTCATCGGCATCTTTGATAAAGCACCTGTCTTTCATTAGGACACATAGAGGCCTATCAACCTACCACAATGTTTGGTAAAAGTCCCTGTCTTTTAGTACGTGTACCAGCATAGATCTAACAACACCGTCATTGATTATTGATGAACCTCCCATTTTTCTCAGCCAATGTACAAATTAAATTTCTAACATTCTCAAACTCAAATCTCTTTTGGGGGGCTCTTGCGGTCTTGAGGTACGTGTTCGCCTCTCAATCAATAGGTCCAAGTTTGGAAACCTACCAGCAACAGAAAATTTTATTCTCTAAAAATTTATCCTTTTTACATCTTTTCCTGTTCTTTAACTGTGTTATGTCATCTGCTTTCATATCCACTTCCAGTGGCGGCGCGCCATTGGTTCAATTGGTGCAGGCGCTCCACCTAACCCTGGCCTTCACCCCCCCCCACCTTTCTAATTTTTCTAAACCAGCCAGTGCTGTAGATCAACATTACATGTACTACATCCTTGCGATCCGTCACCCGCTGGCTGCGCCAGTGAAGAGAAAGACAGCGAGGATGGTTTATGCTGGTGGCACCGCTTGCGGTAGTGTATGCTGGGAGCAAACAAAATCTTTGCACCAATGTTATTTTTGTCACGGTAGAGAAATCTAGGCATCGTTCTTCCCGCACAAGAAGAAAGGTGCATGAAACTCCTCTTCGCAGCACCAATTTGGTGCAAGCAAAAAATTTGATCCAAGTTTCTGCTAGTCTATCTACGACACAAGAGTCTACGGTTACTCAATGAAGAATGGGTATCGAAACTGTTGTCTCCCTCTATTTAGTAGCAAGTCCTGTTAAGGTAAATCTTCAAATTGAGTCTGGTTGTTGGTGCTGCACGAAGTAATTAGAAACCTTTAAATCTTCTCAGATTGTGAGCATAGCGAGTTGTCAGTATAGTTTCACTTTATTGCAACTTTTATGAGGTTCCATCTAGATGTAGATTACGGGATATCCTGCAGATTCTAACTGACTTTCTCTGAAATCTAGATGAATCAAGTTGACGCTTTGCTTCTTGCGCCATTCAGCAGGCTTCAGTTAGAAGAGAAAGTGCGCACTAAAGAGCTTGGTCCACATCAGCCGCGGGATTTTGAGCTTAAAACAATGTTCTCTCTTTTTCCTGTACGTGGTATGATAAGTATGAATGGCTTACGGTGAGCTTGTCTAAAAAGAAATTGTACTGTTTCCATTGTCTGCTTTTTACTAATCGATGAGATGTGGACAAGGTTTGGTCATCAATCACATTCACTCTCTCTTTGTCTTTCTCTCTCTCTCTCTCTCTCTCTCTCTCTCTCTCTCTCTCTCTCTCTCTCTCTCTCTCTCTCTCTCTCTCTCACACACACACACACACACACACACACACAAACAAACAAACAGAGACTCGCAGAAAGCAATAGAAAGAACAGACCACGCCAGAGCGCCCGCCATCCGCTCATTACAGTTTTAATAGTAGCTTGTAAGCCTATTTCCCTTTTGCTCACTTTCCAATTATGCACCACCTTGTCTGTAACCCACGCGACTCCACTGTCCACTTCCTCCCCCCTCCCCCCCCCTTTCCTCTGTCTCCTAACTCTTTGTACTGTTACTGCTGGCTCCTAATTGCTGTCTGCCAGTCTCACCCCTGATCTTAGGGAAGGTAAAATCTAACACCTAGCCTTCTCGGAAAATTACAAACAATCTCGGAGGTCTCATGTGCAAGTGCAAGTTGCGCACGTTAAAGATCCCTTGGTGGTCCTAAAATCGATAAGAATAGGCTTCGGCCGCCACCGGGCAAAATTCAAAATTAATACCTACAAAATGGAAAATATTTGATGTGTCCCCCACTTTCATATGAACTTATCTTATGCAGTTGCAAGCATTGTAAAACACTTGCAAAAAAATAACCGCCACTCCCCCCACAAAGAAAACAACAACAAACAAACAAACAAAACAACAACAAACCAACAATAAAACACATATCTCTCTTGTCCATTGGTACATGAACCAAACTACAGGGTGATAAAAACAACAACAACAAAAGCAACAACAACAACAACAACAACAACAACAACAACAACAACAACAACAACAACAAACAAATAAAACCTTTACAACTTTTTTTTTCTGAATACCTCGCACAAAATGTGTTCTAGAATGTTGTAATTTGGAACAGACATAATTCATTCAAAAGGTATCTGTTTCACATTATCAAGCTGGATATATATGATGTGGATGCCTCGGGTTTGAATGTCAAAGTGGGTGGATTGCGAGTGCCCTGTTGTGGTTTGTTCCCTCTTTCCTAACCTATCGTCCTTATCTCACCTCCTTCATTTTGTGTTCGTCACTCTCTTGTAACACCTCTAACCTTCGGCACTTGAATTTTTTGCGTTGTAAAAGCCGTAAAACTCTTACTAAAAATAAAACGAACTTCGAATAAGGCTTTCTTGGACTCGCTTTGTTTGGGTAGCATTCATGGTTTTACACCCGGTTGACTAAGTGCTATCGGAAATGGACGTTAAGTTGAAGGTTCTACCTTTTAGAAGACCGTGCAGTTTTGAAATTGGCGCGAAAATCATACCAACCAATAGATGTATACAAACACGAAAGACAAGAGAAAGAAAAAGTAACTTTTTAAATTACATTTCAAAGGGTATTCGCCTTACAATGATATGCACACAAATCTACATGATCTAGAATTACACAACTTTTTGACTAACAATAAAAATGTATTGCAATAATGTACCACCATACTAATAATGAGACACATTTTAACTAATAGATCTAAAATACAAAATAATTTGTTACATGATAATGTTCTGTAAAATATTTAAAAAATAGGCCTAGTGTAAGATAACATACAATCATAATAGAACAAACTAATCACATCACAAAATCTATATCAAGATGAAAAAAAAACATATACGGTACAGTGAAACTCGGTTATAACAAAGTCGTCGAGTCTGACCTTCGATTTCGTTGAATCTGACTGTTCGTTATAGCAATGTGAGCAACAAGTTGCGTCACAATTTAGGGCTTAGCATACGGCAACGTCTGTTTCCACAGAGCAGTGCACACAACTCATTACGTAGATACGTTTATGTTTAGACTAGCCTTTCATTGTCCAGTAACCTGAGGGAAGGGATGGGTATAATTGAGACGCGTCTGTATCTCTGCCGACTTTCCATGCGCGAAACACTTAACAATTATAATAATAAATAGCATTTGTATAGCGCATATCTCGTCTCGACAGGAAGCTCTTTGCGCTTTACACTATCATTATTACCCCAGCAGATCACAGAACACTCAGAAACATTATCAACTTCCAGGGAAGCATACAGTGCAAGCAGCTGATTAAGCGCTCAAACACTAGCGAACTGACAATATCTTTCAGTCTCTGGGTACTCATTCCCACCTGGGTGAAGAGAGGAAAATTCGTGTAAAATGCCTTTCCCAAGGACATAGCGTCAGGCCCCTGACGGGATTCGAACCAACGACCTTACAGTTGCGAGTCTGAGAGCCTAACCACTAGGCCACCGACGTGTGCCTCCCCCCCTCCCCCTCTCCCCAAATCCCTTCAGACACACACACTAAAAGCCACCGACCGACCTCTCTTGACCCTGGCACACACATAAGACACGCCATGTCTTACGTGCGTGTCAACAACCCACATGTTGGCGTGAAAGAAGGCTTCTGATAGGACGCAAAAGATGTAGGGGCTAGGCTAAGCGTGTAATGATCCTTTTTTTTGTAAGTGTTTTACGGCACTCGCAACTGCGTAAGGTGATATGAGCGCGCGGGGCACACCAAACATTTTCAGTTGGTAGGAAATTTTGAATTTGTCGTCATTCGTTGAATCCGAGTTTTCTTTGAATTCAATTTATGTGAATCCGAGTTTCACTGTACTACAACAATATACATGTAATGTACAGTAATGATAATGAATCATGACAAAGGAATATTAATAACACAACTTAGAAACACAACATAATAACAATAGCTCCACCGATAATGTCTGACTATGACAAATACATCTGCAAAGGAAAATATTTCTCTAGCGAAATAGAAGAATTAGAAGAATTTAAGGCAAAGATGACATGTGGCTTCTGCTGTGGCCAATGAGACCATTCTAGATGTGAAAGATTTGCCATGCTTTGAACATTTAAAACATAACATAAGCATATGGCAAAAAAACACCCTGAAGCTAGACATTTCATAATCAGCTTAAGACGACGTAATGTAATCCAATCAGTATCTTGTAAAAGTTGCAATCGTTCCCAAGAGAACGAAATTCCTTGTGACATCTGTTAAGAAACAAATATTGGTTGAAAAACGAAAATATAAATAGAAACTGGAAGATCGGTTTCGATCAAATAACTCTCGTGAGACATTGTCTGGGCTTAAGACCATAGTGGGGTACCAAAATAAACCAGCAAACGTATGTGTTGACAAGGAAGAGAGCTATACAAATAAACTTATTGTCTTTTTCTCTCCACTTGGCAAAGGCAGTTCTTGTGGCTTGCCATGTGTGAACACCGCCACAAACGAAAATCGTGTTGTTGTTGTTGTTGTTGTTGTTGTTGTTGTTGTTGTTGTTGTTGTTGTTGTTGAAGAACGTTGAAGAATGTGTGTTTGGAAGTGTGAACGTGAGAAAGGCGTGTGGCCAAGTCTGTTTACAAGCCAACATTCTAAAATTGTGTTCAGCACAACTTAGTTCTATTTGCACCCATATTATAATCAACCAGTCGTTACTGATACATGCTGTTCCCACTATTTGGAAATGTTATGAAATCGCCCCCCTTCCAAAGAAAGAAAAAAATTACACAAACGAGTGACCTAAGACCAATAGCAATAACATACGCAGTTATAAAATGTCTAGAAAAAATTGTGCTAAAAAGACTACAAACATAGTAAAACATAGAACCCATTCAGTACTCTCTACAATTCGCACATCGTCACGGGAGAAGTGTGGAAGACGCCATTCTACTATTTCTTGACAACATAATTATATAGACACTTAGACAAGCCAAAAAAAATACTGTAGGATCCTGTTTGTTGATTTTTCGTCAGCCTTTAGTACTAGTACTACTACATGTATCCAGCCAGCTATCCTTTTAAAGAAATTTAAAAAAACATAGGTGTTAACGTCAATTTAATATCATGGAAGCAATTTTCCTACCTACCGAACCCAGTGTGTAAATATAAAACATTCCTCATCGACATACATCCCGCCAAATACAGGGGCCCCTCAAGGATGTGTTTTGTCACCAGTTTAATTCACACTAAACACGAACGATTGCCAAATAAACAACAATAACATCAAGTTGATAAAGGTTGCGGATGATTCAACAGTAATTTGGCTAATTCAGGATAACCATAACGAAACCGCTTACTGGAATTTAGTACTTAACTTTTCTGAATGGTGTGAAAATCATAAGCTGCTTTAAACGTGAGTAAAACAAAGAACTTGTTGTTGACTTAAAAAAAAAAGAAACTGCCCCTACAGCAGCTCGAAATTAAATGTGAAAACAATGAGCAAGTGTCATATTATAAGTATTTGGGTGTTACAATAGAGAACAAACTTAACTGGCGTGTCCACACTTCTCTCCTGCATAAAAAGTGAACAAAAGACTATTATTTTCTAAGGAAGCTCAAATATTTTAAAGTTAATAAAACATTGATGTCTATATTCTATCATTCAACAATTAATAGAAAGTATTATCAATTCAATTTTTGTATAACAGCATGGGCCTGGAACACAAGACAATAAGATAAAGAAAAATTAAATCGATTAATACGGAAAGTATGTAAAATTTCAACATCTACATTCCCCTACTTGGATGAAATGTACACAACAGCCTGCACTAAAAAAAATAGTTCCATCTTTTTAGACAATAAACACCCTTGTTCCCTCAAATAAAAACGTCAATCAGAAGTACAAGACCTAGGCTTCTGATCTGTAACAAAGACACACAAGGTCAATTTTACCTTCATCCATCAACATTTTTTCATCTTTACCATCTTGTTATAAGTATTCATATGACCTTAGAGCATGCATCAGAATAACATTGAGTATGAATGTATTTAGCTTAGGAATGTTATTGTTTATATTGCAACTCATTTATAATATGCATATGATTGTAAGACTGCGTGTGTGTTCATGTTTGTTTGTTTGTGTGTGTGTTTGTGTGTGTGTGTGAAAGAGAGAGAGAGAGAGAGAGAGAGAGAGAGAGAGAGAGAGAGAGAGAGAGAGAGAGAGAGAGAGAGAGAGAGAGAGAGAGAGAGAGTGTGTGTGTGTGTATGTGTGCACGTGGTGAAAAACCAAAACCAACGTGCCAGGATCTGGACAATAAAGATGTATTCTCATCTTATACACTACGTTCCTCCATCACAAAGTATGACTGGGACTAAACATACAAATCAGCAGAGGTACATGCATACATCATGGAGCATTTGTATGGGGAAGAAAAGAGAAAAACAACATGTAAACATGTAGGAAGAGAGATCAAGACGATAATTTGTTTGATTGAAAAATAGGAGCAAACAGCACCAGTGCACTTTTCAACTTCAATAACCAACTTTTTGTATGGCCAAGTTTTTCGGACATAAACTTAAACAAAAATATTCAAAGAAGGTACTCGGATCCGATCCCTTTGTGAGTGTAAAGAGCAGCCACTTAGCTCATCACAGTATACTGCACTCACTTAAATTGTAACATCTGTCCCACCACGACAGTGAGTTAATGAAACCTGTCCTAGTGAACGGACCAATACGAGAGCGAATCTCACTTGCCATATCAAAAAGCACCTGTCTTTGAGACGCCAGTGTTTTTTCATCAATATCTATGTTTTCAAAGAGCACACATCTGTAGTCTACTTTTTTAAGGAGCTCTCACAGTTCACCTTTTTGTGCCGAACACCACCCTTTAAAGTTCCCTGGGCCCGAGCCAAATTTCTTTTCAAAATCCCGGCCATGGGTGAAAAGCACTGCGGTTCGATTCAGCATGTATGGAGCATATCCTTTCGACATCAAGTCTTGCACCACCCCCATCCCATCCTCGACATAATTACACTCAAAAGGGAGAACCAGAAGGAACATGTGTATTTCATTATTGGAGCAGCGAGACAGTGCTTGATTCATGTATGTCATGGCCAAGCGTGCTTCCTCTGAAGAGTTGACAACACCAACGATGTCAGTTTTGTTCCTCATCCCTGGTGTATCCACAACAGTGACCTTGTACCCCTGTATCTTCCTGGTGTCCGAGTCAACATGAAAGGTTGTTGAGCTTGCTGTATGAGGGCAATGAAAAACGTCTGTGCCCAAGATGCTGTTTCCGGTGGTACTTTTGCCATTGCCGGTCTTTCCCATCACCATGATGTTGAGCTGTCTGCTCATATTGGCAGTGCGGAATGGCTGAGGAAGAAAAGTCCAGACTGTGTGATGTCGTAAGCTAATGGCAGGCCCTGTTGTTGAGGAACTTGGCAATGAATGTTTTCTTCGGTCGTTTTTATGAATAGGTCAGTAATCGATGTTATAATTCGTTCCAAATATAGCACAATTGCCATCCACCCATGGCCTCGAAACCTTTTCCCAGCACACTAGACCCCATATCTTTACCCCCCCCCCCCCCGACTCCCCGCCGCAAATCCCATGAAAATACAGATCTAAAGAATTACTAATAATACATGTACCATACGTAATCTAATGTCTGTTCTGCAAGTGAGACATGAAGATGCAACAATCGACTGTAACCCCCCTCCCCCCTACACAGAAATAACAGATACAATATTGCATGACTTTGTGTTTTTGGTTAAGCAGATAGAAATGCGGGTGATTAAGGGGGGGGGGGTGTTATACTTTACTCTTACAACATTTAGTCATCACTCGTCACGACGTGTTTGTCCACACACCATAAGCTCACAGTTACGACCGTGATCTACAGTCTGACAGGAAAAAAACAACCCAAAACACATATGTAGTAAGGCCTACTGGAGATGTGGATAACAATAAACTTGGATCAGCTTTGAGGAACTTCATGTAGTGGTGGGCAGATTTGCCGGAATGAGTAACAGACAACATGAGAATCACAAACCCAAATCCACCAGGTTTTGCCAAATCCCAAAACCAGGTTCTCATGAATTGTAATAGGCGGTGTTCATTGAAGGATCGGTTCGGTTTGGTTAGGTTCGGTTTAATTTCTGGCGGCTTCAATGCACACTATAAACAGACCCCTTCTTCAAGCCGATTGCAGGACTTGAAACAAAACAAAAATGTTTGTTTTTGAAGGTCATCGTCGGTGTCATTCGTTTTGCACCAACATGGTAGCTTTCTCCTTTTTATAGACGAAAATCTGGCGGGACCCGACGATCAAACCGAACAAAACCGATTTGCCAATGGGCACTGGGTATTATAGCTTGTCCACCGTCTGATTGCCGTTAAAACAAGGTGCATTTTAATGCTCTGTTTGATATTCTATAAACGATGCATACGGGTTTAAAAGTTGGAAGACTATCGGAATCTAAAATCCCTTTCACAAAGGTCACTACAAACTAAGGTTCTGACACGTTTTCTTTGATGTTAGTCTAAAGGGGAGTCTACAAAATATTTGGGGATTTACAGCATACACCTAAAACATAAAAAAGGTCACATATTTTCCTCATTACCACAGCATCGGGTTGGGAGAGGCGAGGAGTCCTTCAACATGGGAACAGAAACTGTCTCCACATTATATATAAATAGATCTCTGCATAAGGCGGGAGATTATACGAGTAAATCTCAACATGAGACAGAAGGAAAGCCTTATTAAAGTACATGCAGTAGGTCTAAGGTCTCTATAAACATTTTCAAGTTAGAACGTCTGATTTTGATATATAATTGTCTTTCAACGGACCAGCTAGTCAAAGTAAACTAGTCAACAAAAATTAAGGAACATTTGAGAAAAGGTGTATAACTTCGAAAGCAAACTTCAACACGCAATGAAATTTGGTACACATTTTAATCAACATGTGTATAGCAAGTACCAAAAAAGAAAATGAAGTTATTCCATTTTAACTTGCTTGAAAAGTTAATTGAGTTTGGTAGGGGTTAAAATCCCAAATCCCAAAAATTGTCAAGCGGTTTCGAAGTTATGTTAACTTCTGACTGCAACAAAAACAAAACATTTCAGATGATTTCAATAATGAGTATGCCCACCACGATTGTACTGGCACTCAGTACACCGGCTCCTCATCGAGTTCATGAGGTTGGTGAACACTCTCTGAGGCATCCCCTGCCACTCTGCCTACAGCATCTGAAACAGTTGCTGCGCGTCTCCTGGAGGCGTGTGGTTGTCTCTGACTCGACGTTGCAGCTCATCCCAGAGGTTTTCTATGGGATTCAATCCGGACTGCAGGCCGGCCAGTCCATTTTCGGTTGATGCCAGCCTGCTGCATGAAGTTTTGGACACACAACGCTCTATGAGGTCGGGTGTTGTCATCCTGGTACACTGCATGTGGCCCCATCTGCTGCAGAGTAGGTAGTGCTAATGGACGGAGTATCTCACCTCGGTAACGTATTGCAGTGAGATTCCCTAGCACTTGGTACAGAAGTGTTCTGTGGTTCAGACTGAAAGCACCCCATACCATCACGGAACCACCTCCAAAAGGCATCACTTCTCTGACGGCTCCATCGAGGAGCCGCTCTCCGGGTCGCCTCCAAACCCTGATACGGCCGTCATTGTGATGCAAAGAGAACCGGGACTTGTCGCTGAAGAGAACGTTTGCCCACTGTTGACGTGTCCATCTTACTTGGCGTCGCCAAAAGGCAAGACGAGCAGCCCTGTGTGCTGGGGTGAGACGTTGGCAGACTGCTGGTCGACGTGCATTAAGTCCAAACTCATGAAGACGTCTTCGTACTGTCTGACAACTAATGTTAACACGAGTTGCCGCTCTCAGCCGTGTCCAGACGCGATTTGCAGGAGCAGATCTCGACTGCGGAGCCTGTCTATGAATGGATCGGTCTTCCCTTGCATTAGTGGCTCTTGGTCGACCTGATCCGGGTCGCTCTTGGGTACTACCAGTGGCGTTGGCACGCTGAATCAGCCGTGAAATGACAGAAACGGACACTCGAAGACGTGTAGCAACTTGTCGGAGTGAAACACCATCTTGTACCTAAGCAATGGCTCGTCCTCTGTTTACATCAGACAATTTCTGTCGAGGAGGCATGTTTATGCTTAGCCCTACAGCAGCAAAATGGTGAATCCACAGTGCAAATGAGTGAGTGCAAGTCACTCACGAGACATGAATCTTGCAATTGAAAACTGATTTTTGAGCGTTCAAAATTTTTTTCTGACGGTAAGAACTAGAGAATAAAAATCGATAATTGGAAAACATTGGACCTTTTTGCCCCACCCCCAGCTCATCGCACAGGAGTCACGTGCACTTCAAACCCTGGTGTGTGCAATCCCATTAGTCATAGAGTAACATTTCCCCAATATCTAGTTTTACGAGTAAAAGTAAAACCTCGAAAGAATGCATACAAATATATCACTGTTTTTACTGTACGTTCCTTAACTTTTGTTGACTAGTTTTTACTTCACAGGGCTGTTTAAAATAGCAAGTGTTTCCATTACAATACAATGTCCAATCCAATTTCCACTCAGAAAAACAACGGGTTATTATCGTAAAGTTCAGATTTAACTTGGAAGAATGGAATTCCGGTTTTCAAGGAGTCTCCAGGCCTACAGCTGTTTGCAAGGCGCTTCTGGTAGGATTATGCCTTATTTTTTTATTAGTAATATTACCCTCTTATTGCACGATCTTACTTTTTTACAGGCTCTAAATGTAAACGACAATAGTTGTCACCCCTTGCCCCCCACCCCTAACTCCACCCCACCCCCACGTCCTGCTCCACTTCTAATAGTTTATACGAAATATAATGTTCATGGTTGGCTTTAGGTCAGAGGTCACCACTGCAAGGTAGGTTCTACTTCTTTCTTTTCCCTTGTTGTTCCTGCCTCTGCTTCGCTATTCCTGCACTAAATGATAATGGCTGTTCTTGTGTTCATACATCGCTTTTCTTTACCCTAACTCAAACATCTTTGATACATAATATATATATATATATATATATATATATATATATATATATATATATATATATATATATATATATATGTGTGTGTGTGTGTGTATGTATATATACTTATATATATATATATATATATATATATATATATATATATATATATATATATATATATATATATATATATATATATATATCTATATATCTATATCTATATATATATATCTATATATGTTACTTATTTTCACTGTCAAAAAGATTACGGTTCGGCACTTATATGACCTTATTGTGTTGCAAGTGCCGTTAAAACACTAACTAAAATAAAAGATTACGTGATCCTTCTTTCGCTTGGTTGACCTAACTAGGAAAACAACAATCCGCTTTTTGTTCCAATCAAAGTGACCATGCACAGTATTAAAGTCAACCTGGAAAATAAATTTCGCTTTTTGAGAGCTGTCTGTGATTGTTATAAACAACGGAACAGACCTTGTTCAGAATTCGTTCTGACGAGAAACGTTAGTTTCAGAAGGCTGATACCCAAAAAATGAACAATAAAGAAATATGAAAACGGAAAAAAGCAACAGGATAAAAATCGACGAACGCCAACAGAAGATGGTTTGTAATAGTCGTCCAACTTCAGCCCATTCCTTAGACCCTCTAAGTTCCGACAAAAGATGCTTGCACGCATCTTTTGAAGAGATTTTTGTCCAAAATGGTGTCAGTTTCCACAAAAGCTTCTTGCAATGAGACATCGTCTCCTCGTAGTCTTCAATTGTAAATTTCCTGGTCATCCCGGAGACAGTGTCCAGTAGTTTCTCCCTTTGTTCAACGGCTGTTTCTGCTGAGCAAGTTACATTATCAAACAGCTAACATTTGCCTTGACACATGTTAAACAGTTTTTTCATATCGGCCATTTGGGAGCACACCCAACCCTCAAAAGGAGCACAACTATATTTAAGTCTATAATCACCTCCGTGAGTGAAAACGATAATAACATGGTCAGCAAAGAAGCTTGGGCCAAAAGACTGCTCTAAATTACGGACTACTTTTTGCTCGTCATCCGTATAACGAGCACCAAATCGAAAAACTATGACAAAGGCATTGATTCCGTCAGCGCTGATGTTGATAGCCTTCTCAATCTGGTCAAACATCCTCTTTGTGTCTTGTACATCATCTACGGGGAAGGTGTTGAAAAGTCCGGGAGAGTCGATGACGTCCACATTACTGACACCATCAGCTGAGGTAGCTCTGCCGGTGGATAATACGTCTGTGGTTTCTTCGTCCACATTATAACTGATGCCTCTCTGGAGGACACTAGAAGCCGTGGCTGTCTTCCCGTGGCCAACTTTCCCGAGAAGCATCATGGTTGAGGGACAGGAGTTTACGACGACCGACATCTGAAATATCCACAAGTCATTATAATTTATAATACAATGATTTGTTGAAATACTTGAGGCTGTTATAACTGAACTAGATCACAGTATACTCATTTTACATGGGATACATATTTTGAGTTTGCTTTCCAAAGGCCAAAAGACCCGTTTATACTTTTCCTACTTGACTAAAATTCCCATGTGGCCCTGAACTATTGTCTGACTTATTCTACCCCCCCCTCCCTTTTCTAAATTTCCAAATCCCGCCAAAACTGAACTGGTAAAACGTTCAACCAAATCCTCCTCCTCCTCCTGCCCCTCCTCCTCTTCCTCCTCCTCCTCCTCCTCCTCCTCCTCCTCCTCCTCCTCCTCCTCCTCCTCCTCCTCCTCCTCCTCCTCCTCCTCCTCCTACTACTACTACTACTACTACTACTACTACTACTACTACTACTACTACTACTACTACTACTACTACTACTACTACTACTACTACTACTATTACTACAACTACTACTACTACTACTACTACTACTACTACTAAAAATACTAAAATTAATAATAATAATAAAAATGATAATAATAATAATGGGCGTTCATATAGCGCTCAACCCCAATTAAAGTAGCTTACACAGCCTCTGACCACTTTACATTACAACAATAACATAGCCATATTATAATCAATACATTGTGTTCTTACCAAAAGGAAATCTCTCTAAATATTTGTCTCATTAATTCAAAGGCAAAAATAATTTGTAGCTGACATTTGAAGGAATTAAAGGATTTGATCTCTCTCAAACCACTCTGTCATGGGCAAAGCATTCCAAATCTTGGAGCCTGGATATTCAAATGCTCTTTCATCATATGTTTTAAGTTTCATAGATGGTCAAAGAAAATTTAAAAGTATATTGTCAGCTGATAACCTTAAGCGAAATTACGAGTTCGAATAGCACTGTTTCATCAGACTTGATAAAAATATAATGGCGTATCATTATTCATTATAATATCTTTCTAGCAATTGTGACAGAGTGTTCAACCCTTCCTCTGGGCTCCTGATTCTTTCTGCAGCCTTTCTACTGCTACTCCTTCGCTTCTTCTTACTGCTGTCTTTCAGCCACACCCCTGATCTTCTGGTAGGAATCTTGTACACCTAGCCTCCTCGGACAAGGGCGAAAAATCTCGGAGGGCGCGTGTGCAAGTTGCGCACGTTAAAGATCCCTTGGTGGTCTAAAATTGATAAGAGTAGGCTTCGGCCGCCACCCGGGCAAAATTCAAAATTTCGTACCAACTGAAAATATTAGGTGTGTCCCGCGCGCTCATATGACCTTATGCAGTTGCGAGCGCCGTAAAACACTTTACAAAAACAAAAACAAAAGAGTGTCCAACTTGGACATCGTGGTGAAACCAGGCGCTTGTCAAAATAATGAAATCGAAGAAACTGAACATTTTCCTCCTGTGGGCAATTTTTATCTTTTTTTGGGTTTGTTTTGAGTTCAACTCCTTTTTATGTCCGTCAAATACATAGCAAAATGTGGATTTTGATGAAAAACGTTGAACAACGGCACACACAAATGTTTTTTTTGCAGTTTCCAAGGACACTCAAGCCTTGGAAGTCATCAAACTTCTGAGGCCAGTTTCTCGCTTTTATCTTTCTTCTGACAACAGGCAACCCCACCTCCTTTAATCACAAATATCTCAACTTCTATTTAAATTCAAGAAATATTAATATTTATGTCATCAAAAGTAAGGCAAATGGCATTATATTACTCCCGGACCCATCTCACGTTCAGATATTTTGAAGCACTTTCTTGTTAATGTTTATTTGCTTTACATGAATTTTGACTTTATTAATTCCATCGTAAACTATGAGAGGTGTGGATATTTTTATATGAATTATATTACAATGGAACCAATTGCGTAGTAATATTTACTTATTTTTAACAAGATGGGGTTTCAGACTCCTCTATTTCAACTTTATTTTATGTTTTACAATTAGGATTTACATTTTCTTGAAAGCATTTGATTTGTGATGATTTTACTAACCATATGTGTGTTTTGCAGCACAAGTTATGGCAGTTTAGCACCCAAAATGTGCATTTGTGTGCTGATCTAAAAGTAAAAAATTACCGGGCCTTAATTAAGAAAGATACCAATAACTCATTAAGCTCAAGAACTGACGAGCGCCTGATTCCACCACGTCATGACACATATTATTGTTTATGGTAAAATATATCCTTGCTATTCACTTTACTAGTGGATCTAGAAAATGAGAAACTTGCCGCAGTTGGTGGCTACACAAAGAACCAGATCGCTGTGTGTTCGCCCTGTTCTGTTCGACAGGTTTCACTTCTGTTTATTCTTCAGTCACTGTTCTCTTTCTGTCTACTAAGTCTTCGAAGTCTGAGACAGAAATTTCTGGAATTATTTTCACTGCAAGTCACGTCGAAAGTTTTCTTGACAGCCAAGTATGCAACCCGGTGGGTAGCCATTGAATATAATCTATTCCTTCCGGCCGAGGCTTTTATTCTGCAAACTGTTCTGCGCAAGAGGCTGCGCGGTGTGCCAAACCAGATTCCCCCCCCCCCCCGAAACTGCTCTTGACTCATAAGGCCCTTAAAAGTACAGTTCATGCATCGACAAGCTATTCGATATACAAACTGTTCGATATCGAAAGAATGGCGAGGATCCTGTCGGCTTCCCGGTAAACCTGAGCAAGGAAACGAGCAATACTGCCAAAATCGAAGGGTTCCCAGTCCAGCCATCAGAGCCTGGTATTTACCGGCCGGCGAACTAAAGGCGTGACAACGAGGGAGCCGCTTTTTTTACGTTGCCTGCCCCCCCCCCCAACCGGGGAGGGAGGGGGGGGGGTAAATGTGTATTCCAAAAGTTTCCTAAATATTGTCAAAATAACAAAAATGTGTCACGGCATGGTGGAATCAGACGCTTTTCAATGTTTGGGCAAGTTGAGTTAGTGGTACCATCCTAAGGCTTGTTCACTTGTTTTGCATTCGATGACAAAAATACCTATCTGCCTTGAAGAGAATTTCAGATACTTCCGATTGAAATCACGTGGTTGCGAAAGCAAAATTATCGAGAAAGTGGCCACCAAGTTTGGTAACTTCCATAGCTTGAGAGTCCTTTGGAAATTGAAATTTACATTTTTGTGCCTTTAATCAAAAATTTCCAGTTAGTAAAATTCACACAGAAATGTGTTTTTAAATAGACATAAAAGTTGTTCAGCCAAAAAAAGCCGTTTTCTTCCATTTCAGTGTTTTGACGAGCGCCTGATTCCACCACGATGCTTCCCAAATGATAAGATTTTCGCGATCAGCGACTCAAAATTAGTCACGCTACTCGTGGAATGCAATTTAATGCAGGATTATCAAGTTATTATTTTATTTTAATTTTCGTGTGTTTTGTGTGTTTTGGGAAACCATAATTATTATTCATTCCAATACGCTAAGAAGGCCAGGTCATGGAATTGAATGGTTAATAAATTTTAGCAAAATCTAGAAAGTCTTTAATAACGTAAATAACAATAAACAATACAAAACATAAACATGTTCTAGATACTGAATGACACACGTTCATACAATCAGCAACAAGAGTACCATATACAAGGGGGGGGTCAAATAAATTTTTGGTCTGGGTATGAAGGAATCATGGTAGACTAATGGAATTTCGCCAGCTTTTAGACAATGTCTTTGGAAACCGTCATGCAAATTATCGGGAAAATACGACAATAATAAGGCACTAGTCAGCGTGTTCAATGAAACAATGCACACAAATATTGTTTTTTCTTTGCCGAAGCTGTGCCATGGAGCTTGTTGAATATCGCTCAGTTATCAAGTTTTTGCACTTGGAGAAAAATCTCCTTCAGATACTTTTCAGGAAATGGTCCAAGTTATGGCAACAGATGTCCCCGTTATAATACTGTGACATACTGGGTAAGAAAATTCAAATCTGGACTCATATCGGTGATGGATGCAGGTCGTGAACGGCGTCTATCCTTTGTGGTAACTGAAAAGAATGTATCCATAATGAAGAAACTGGTTCAACAAGACCGACGTATAACTGTTAAATAGCTCTCAAGTGAAACGAGAATCAGTGAAGGGTCAATTTAAACGATTGTCCACGACAATTTTAACATGAATAAGGTGTCTGCGTGTTGGGTACCCTGCCTTTTGACTAGTGAGCTAAAGAAGCAGAGGGTTGAGTCCTGCAAAACTCTCTTTCGAATTGAGTCCAAAGACACAATTTTCTTTAAAAATATGGTGACTTTCTATGAAACATGGATTTATAATTTTGATCCAGAACAAAAAATGTCCTCCATACAATGGAAAAACCCCTTCTTCTCCCTCACCAAAGAAGGCAAATGTAACACTGTCAAGTGGAAAGGTCATGCTGTTGTGTTTCTGGGATTGTGAAGGTATGATCATGACTGACTACCTGAAAAAAAGGAAAAACAGACACTGGGGACTACTATTCGGGTTTGCTGATAAAACTGCAGTACGAGCTGGTGAGACAAAGGCGTGGAAAACTCCGGTCCTCCTACTGCATGACAACGCCCCTGCGCACAGGGCACAACAAACAGTCCACACAGCAGAACAGTGCGGCTTTGAAGTCCTGCCCCACCCAGCTTATTCACCAGACCTTGCTCCTTCAGAGTTTTTTCTGTTTCTTAATCTTTAAAAAAAATCACTAAAAGAACTTCGTTTCCATGACAACGAGGACGCCATTGAAGCTGTGGAAGACTGGTTAGGGGCCCATTCTGAGTCATTCTTTTCTCACGGACTTTTGAAGGTCAAATAGAGGTGGTACAAATGTGTTACTCTGAATGGTGACTTAGTAGAGAAATGAAAGTATGTGTGCCAAGTTACAAAGCTCTATATTTATTCCTGCATATTTAGATCAAAGACTTCTTGAACCCCCCTCGTATAAATAGCTGAACATATTTGTGGAATAAATCGACGGAGGGATGGTGCAGGAATCTCTCTCTCTTTCTCTTGCCTTTTTTTTACTCCCAGTAGAGCACAGGCCATC